ATGCACTTTTTAAAGTAAAAAAATTTGTCAAAATAGACCATATTCTGAGACATAGAAGTACCAATATATTTATAGTGATTCAAATAATATAAAGTTTATTTCTGATCAGAGTGGAATTCAGTTGGAAATCAGTAACAAAGATATCTTGAAATATCCAAGTACTTAGAAACTAATTCACTTCTAAGTATCACACAAGTCAGAGAAATTAAAAGGAGAGTTAAAAAGTATTTTTAACTGATAATGAAAATACAATATATCAAAATATGTGGGATTCAGCAAAGCAGAGCTTAGAAGGAAATTTATAGCACTGAATACCTAATTAGAAAAGAAGAAAAATTTTACATCAATAACTTCAGCTTCTATCTTAAGAAACTAGAAAAGGTACAAACTATACCTGAAGTAAGCAGAATAAAGACCATAAAAAAGATAAGAGAAACCAGTGAAATGGAAAACAGGAAAAATAAACTTCTAGCCCCACTAATCAGGGATGAAAAGAAGACAAAAGTGACCACATCAAGAATGAGAGAGGTGGTATCAGTACAGATTCTACAGATATTAAAAGGTTAACAAGAAATTATGAATAATTTATGCCACTAAATCCAACAACTTAGCAGGGGACGAATTCCTTGAAAGATACAAATTGCTAAAGCTCACTCAAGAGATAGATGAATTAGCTCTATAGCTACTTAAGAAATTGAACTTAAGCCTTTCTAAAAGAAAACACTACTTATGACTGGCATCACTGGTAAATTCTACCAAACATTTAGGGAAGAAATAATACAAACTTTATAGAAATTCTTCCAGACAAGTAAAGAGGAGAGAATACTCTTAACGCTCTATGAAGCCTGCATTATCCTGATACCCAAATCAAAGAAAGACATTATAAGAAAACTACTGACCAATATTCCTCATGAACATAGATCTAAAAATTCGTAAGTTTTAGTCAATTAAATCCAACAATACATAAAAAGGATAATAGGGGCGCATAGGTGGCTCAGTCACTTAAGCTCTGACTCTTGATTTCAGTTCAGGTCGTGATTTCAGCATTGTGAGACCAGCCCCACCTTGGGCTCCATGCTTAGCTAGAAGTCTGCTTGATTCTCTCCCTCTGCCCTCTCCCCACTCAAGCTCTCTCTCTCTTTCTCAAATAAATAAATAAAATATTTTTAAAGGTTAATATAACAGGAGAGTTATAGTCCAGAAATACAAACTTGGTTTAACATTTTAAAGTTAACTAATATAGGAGCACCTGGGTAGTGCAGTTGGTTAAGCATCTGTCTTGGCTTTGCCTCAGGTCAGATCTCAGGGTCATAAGATCAAGCCTTGCACCCAACTCTATGTTCAGCACGGGATCTGCTTAAGATTTTCTTCTCTCTCTGCTCCTCCCCCTACACGTGTGCACTCTCTCTATCTCTCTCTAAAATACATAAATATATCTTGAAAAAAGATTATTATTGAGGTTAACTAATATAATTCATCATATTGCCCTGCTAAAAAATAGAAAAATCATATGCTCATTTCAATAGGTACAGAAAAAGCATTTAACCAAATTCAACATCTATTCCTGATAAAAACTTTAAGCAAACTAGTAATAGAAGAGAATTTCCTGGGCAGCCCCGGTGGCCCAGCGGTTTAGGGCCGCCTTCAGCCCGGGTCGTGATCCTGAAGACCTGGGATAGAGTCCCACATCGGGCTCCCTGCACGGAGCCTGCTTCTCCCTCTGCCTCTCTCTCTCTCTCTCTCTGTCATGAATAAATACATAAAATCTTAAAAAAAAAAAGAGAATTTCCTCAGCCTAATAAAGGACATCTGTAAAAAAAATCTATAGCTAATATCATGCTTAGTGGTGAAAAACTGAATTCTTTCCCTTGAGAGTAGGAACAAGCAACCATGTTTGGGTTCAGCACTTCTCTTCAACACTGTATTGGAGTTTCTAGCCAGTGCATAAGTCAAGAAAAATAAATTAAAGGTAAATGGATTAAGAAGGAAGAAAAAACTATATTTACTGACATCATGATTATCTTTGTGGGTAATCCAATGGACTATACAAAAAGAACTTACTAGAACTAATATGTGAGTTGAGCACATTTTCAGGGTTCATGATCATAGTGCAAAAATCAGTTTTATTTCCATATACAGTTGACTCTTGAACAACACAGGGGTTAGGGGTATCAACCCCTCACACGGTAAAAAATTTGCATATAACTTTTGACTCCCCCAAAACTTAACTACTAATAGCCTATTGTTAACCCGTAGCATTACCAATAGTGTAAACAGTTGATAAACACATATTTTGTATGTTATATATATTATGTACTGGATTCTTACAATAAAGTAAGTTAGACAGAGGAAAATGTTATTAAGAAAATCATAAGGGAGAGAAAATACAGTTACATACATGTGAAAAATTCATTTATAAGTGGACATACATTTCAAACCTGTGTTAAGGATCAACTAAGTAAGCAGTGAAGAATTAGAAATTAAAACTACAAAAACAATACCATTTACAACAGAATAAAAATATGAAATAGGAATCCATTTGATAAAAGGTGAACAATAACTATATAACGATGACTGTAAAACATTGATGAAAGAAATTAAAGAAGACCTAAAAAGATGGAGAGATAAATATATCATGTTCATGGAGAAGACTAGAGATTATTAAAATGCCAATCCTCCCCAAATTGACTTATAGGTTTAATACAATCCCAATCAAAATCCCAATAGACTGTTTTTGGATAAATTGACCAGTGGATTCTGAAATTTATATAAAAATGAAAAGGATCTAAAATAACTAAACAACTTTGAAAATAAGACAAACAAAAACAGAAAACAAAAATAAACTTGTAGTACTTACACCACTGGATGGCAAAACTTATTTAAAAACTACAGCAATTAGTACAGCATGGTATTGGCATAAAGTTAGACAAACAAATGAACATAGCATAATAGAGTCAGGAAAGAGACCCAGGCATATAAATTTAATTGATTTTCAACAAAGCTACCGATGTAATTCAATGGGAAAGAATGGAGGAGAACAATCTTTTCAACAAATAGTGTTAGAAAAATTGAGTAGCCATATGAAAAAATATCAACTTTGGCTTGCATCCTACCATATTAAAAAAATAATTAAAAAATAATTTATCATTGACTAAAACATAGAATTAAAACTATAAAATTCCTACATAAAAATATACCAGACAATCTTATTTATCTTGGCTTTGTCAAAGATTTTAAGAATATGACAAAAAACAAGACTATAATAGAAAACATCAATAAATTCAATTCCATCAAAATTAAAAGCTTTGGCTCTTCAAAGAACACAATTTAAAAAATGAAAAGACAAACTACAGACTGGGAAAAATATATTTGCAAAATATGTATCTGACAAAATTCTTATATCTAGAATATGTAGATAATTATTATAATTCAATAATAAGGAGACAACCCAATTTAAAAATAGGTAAAACATCCAAACTGACATTTTACTAAAGAAGATGTATAGATAGCAAATAAGCACAGGAAAAGATGTTCAGCATCATTAAGCACTAGAGAAATGCTAATTAAAACCACAGTGTGATACAACTACATATGTAATAGAACGGCTACAAGTAAAAATCTCATAATACCATATGAAGGCAAGGATGTAGACAATTGGAACTCTCATTCACTGCTGATGGGAATGTAAAATAGTGCAACTACTTTGGAAAACTCTTTGGCAGTGTCTAAAAATTCAAACATAGACCTACCATATAATCCCGGTATTCATTCTTAAATACTTATGTGAGAAAAATGAAAGCTCATGTTCATAACAAGATGTACATGAATGTTTGTGGCAACTTCCTTTGCAATAGCTAAGACTGGAAATGTCTAATGACAAGTGACATGATAAGCAAACTGTGGTATATCCATACAATGGAGTACTACTCAGCAGTAAAAATAAATGAACTATATATAGATCTAATAATGTTCACGGATGAACTTCATAATAATTTTGTTGAGTGAAGGAAATCAGACCCCCTAAAAAGGAGCCAAACTATATGATTTCATATGTGTAAAATTCAAATTAATCTATAATGATAGAAAGTGAACCAGTGGTTGCTTGATAAAGGGTAGTGGCAAGAAGAACTGGAGAAAAGCTGTACAGAAAGACAGAAACAGAGAGAGAAAAACAGAGATCTTAAAGCAGCCAAAGAGAAAATAAAACCATCTATAAAAAAGGGCAATTAGAAAAAAAAATAAAGAAAAGAAAAAAAGGGCAATTAGATTGACAGTACATTTTATAAGAGCAACTAAGGAAGAGAATACAATGTAAGAATTTCTTCAATGTGTTGAGAGAAAATAGCCATCAACTTAGAATTCCACATTCAATGAAGCTATATTTCAGAAAAAAAAGATTGTATAAAGAATATTGTTTCCAGGCAAACAAAACAGAGACAACTAGTAAAAACAACTCTTCCCCTTTGATAACTTAAGAGCATGCATGACCCAAAGAGAATCACTATATGAAATCATAAAGGATATACTTTAGCAGAATGAAAAATTGAAAGCTTTAGATGTAAAACAACATTGGACAAAAACATTTTGGTAAATATGAGAGCATATCTCAGCAAACACTGAGTATGGAACAACATAATGTAACAAAATGCTCTTAATTTTTGAAGGGAAAATATAATTAAAATACTGGGCTTAGACTAGAATCAAAATCATTCAAGATCCTTGATTATTTAGGAGTAAGGTAAGATATGAGCTTCAGACTTTCTGTTAAATCAGCATGCCAAACTAGCTAGTTTAATTTCTGAAATAATAAACACAAGCACACATACTTTCCAATCAATTAAAGAGAAATGGAATTAGAAAAAGAAAAAAATATCAATTCAAGAGAAGGCAAAGCAAGAAATACCAAAAAAAAAAAAGTAAGAGTAATAGCATCTAGAAGATTTAGAATAGCATTTGGCACATTATCATTTTATATTTATTATATAATATAGTAATTTATTAGTAGTATAACTGTTATTTCTATTTTGTGTGTTATTTTTGCATAGGGGATTTGCTAATCTTCTCTGTATCGTTTCAATTTTAGTATATGTGCTGCCAAAGTGAGCACAACTATTATTTCTGTCCTGATAAATCTCTCTGTAGCATTCAAGACAAGGACTCTAACATGCAAGTTCTACTAATACTGGCAGTTCCTTGATATTAACAAGTTGATAATGCTAATTAAAAGACTAGCAGTAACCTGGAAGAGTTAAAAATTCTGTTACCCACAAGGTGTATAGCCTTAAGCCAGTTGCTTGACATTCTGGCCTTAGTTTCCTCACCTGTAGAATGAGGGAGTTGGAGAGGATTGGAGGAGAGGTTCATCTTGGATGGTTCTATACTTTTAAATCCTCTTTAACCAAAAGAAAGAGGAAATCTCCTGACTCAGCCCAAAACACAAACAGGTTCAGAAATGGTTTATTTGGGTGAGTGGCCATCTTGCCACAAGTACTCACAATAAGTTCAGTCCCCATTAGATAGGAAGCAGTGGCTCTTCTTGCTCATATTAGAACCTGACCAACTTGGAGGCCACTGAGCAGAGTCAAAGCAAAGCCTCCACTCAAAGGAGACCTATTAAAGATACCCTTCCCAGCCAGGGTGGAAGGAATTCCAGAGGCTCTCAGAAGAGTTGGCAGGCTCACAGCTCTGCACCAATGCACTGGAGCTGGGCTGCTAGATAGTATGCAGTTGTCAAACAAACCCACTCTTCTTTCCCCCAGTTACACAAAGACTTTTCAAATGCACCCCTTTTAGCTGAAAGTCTTGAATATTAAACTTCTTAAATCTCCCTGTCATCATTCTAATTCATAGATACGAGTGCCTACACTTTATGCATTTTACACGCATTCTGATACAATGGCCTCCAGCCCTACTTGCTGCAGAAGGAACTCAGGTATGCAAGATAACTGGCTCAGCTTCCAAAGACAAGCCTGGTAGGCATGAGAGCTCTTGAAGGAGGGCAGAGAGCCTCCTGGGAAGTTCTTTTGAATTTGGGTGTGGTGTGAGTCCTTGTGTTCCCAAATATGGTTTTATCTAATCTACCTTGAAATTGCCCTGCTGATTGACTGTTTTATGTTCAATAAAAAACTACTGAACTAAAGTTCCTCCTCCAAAGCTCTTAAAGATGCCCTGTCAGAAAGTAGTGTCACAGCAAAAGGATATGTGTATAAGGATGTTCACCAGAGCGTGGTTTAAGACTGTGGAAAAACCCATCAGCAAAGTCACAGGCACATTCATATATCATAATGCTAGGAATCTGACTTGTTGCAAAGCAAATCCCCGGGTGGCATATAAACTATGATCCTATTCTAGGAAAATCAATAGAAATGATGTTACCATATGCAGGGAAAAAATGGAGGAACACGTGCCATAATGTTAACAATGATTATTTGGGGATGGGGTGAAGTGGATGGAATCTGGGGAGAAACATTTCTCTATTCCCTGGCCCCCTGGTCTTGATGTTGTACGCTCTCATTAGCCAAGGTGAGTTGCATTAATGGTCAATTGCTTTTTCCTCCAGAGACATTTTTTTTGCCTAGCTGTAGATTTTCTTTTTTTTTTCTTTCAAGATTTTATTTATTTATTCATGAGAGACAGAGAATGAGAGAGAGAGGGGCAGATACAGAAGCAGGCTCCATTCAGGGAGACTGACGTGAGACTCGATCCTGGGTTCCCAGGATCATGCCCTGGGCTGAAGGCGGCGCTAAACCGCTGAGCCACCTGGGCTGCCCTAGCTGTAGATTTTCTTCCACAACATGTAACAGCAGCTTATTGCTTTCATTCATTTCTAATGGCTCTGTTCTCAATAGGACATATACCTGTAGGTATTTACATATTAAAATACTTAAGGTAGCTCACTATAATACTTGACCACCAAGTTTGAAATTTATTTATATATTATTTTTGGTTAAATTAGCAAAGAGGTCATGTTATTTTTTCTATTTTAGAGTTTAAATTTCTTTAAAAAGATTTATTTATTTATTTATTTATTTATTTATTTATTTATTTATGAGAGAGAGAGGTAGAGACATAGGCAAGGGGAGAAGCAGGCTCCTTGCAGGAGGGGCCGATGGGGAGCTCCATCCTGGACCCTAGGATCACGCCCTGAGCGCAAGGCAGATACTCAACCGCTGAGCTACCCAGGCATCCCTTAAATGTTTTTTAAAGTACTCAGTGTAGGATGCCTGGATGGCTCAGCGGTTGCCTTCTGCCTTAGGCTCAGGGCATGATCCTCGAGTGGGGGATCAAGTCCCACATTGGGCTCCCTGTAGGGAGCCTGCTTCTCCCTCTGCCGGCATCTCTGCTTCTCTCTGTGTGTCTCTCACGAATAAATAAGTGAAGTCTTTAAAAAAAATAATTTATTTATTTATGTGTGAGGATATTTATTGCAACAGAAAGAACTGAGGATTTCAAAGAGCTGAGATTAAAATCTGATATTGACTAGTTGTTCAAAAGTTTAAGGTTCCTGTGGCTCTTTACATTTTAAACATGTCTATTTGCATGCAACTAGAAAAGTTGACCCCAAATATTGCCTCAGTTTCCTGGATGTTACTAAGGAGTGTATGTCCTTTTACTTTATGTCTTGAGACCCAGCCTAACAAAATGTGACATCTTTTCATAGGATTTTTTGGTTTGCAGTTTATTTCATTTATTCCATTCATTCAATGAACATTTATAATTATCATCATTGGTATTGAAAACAATAGCTCACATTTATTTTTTTTTTAGATTTTATTTATTTATTCATTAATGAGAGACAGAGAGAGAGGGAGAGAGGGGCAGAGACACAGGCAGAGGGAGAAGCAGGGTCCATGCAGGGAGCCCGATGTCGATCCTGGGTCTCCAGGATCTCGTCCTGGGCTGAAGACAGCGCCAAACTGCTGAGCCACCTGGGTTGCCCTGCAGTTCTTTAATTAAATGCCTTCTTTTTGCCTGGCATTGGGGAGGATACAAAAATAACCTGGCCCTAAAGATATATAAATAATCCATATATGGTTCTGTGCTCAAAAGGAAGGTCAAGACACCAGGTTAGGTAATTCTTGGGCTTAATAAGTGATTTCCCAACAAGGAAATCAAGGAAGCTTCGTGAAGAAGTTGGCATTATATTTGAGCCTTTAAGCAAAGGATTTGGTTATCTGGAGAAGGAGGAGGGACATTCCAGATAAAGGCAGAAAGGCAGAGATAGGACTATTCAGGGCATGTGCTAGGTCCTGGGTATAGTGCGGGCTGAAGCACATGGTACATGAAAGGAAGACTAAGGAAAGAAGGCTTAAGGGGCAGATGCAAAGAATGTTCCATTGTAAGGACCAGTGAATCATTTATCCCAACACACTCATTTTACAGATGAAGATACTAAGGCCTACAGAAAAGGGAAATCCCTTCAGTTATTCAGTAGTGGGGATAGAGTTACATCTCAAGCTCTCTTGGCTCCCACAATTGAGCTTCCAGTTACACTGGGACAGATCAGAAAATGCCTAGAAGTAGGTGGTCATCTCAATGCAGAGGGGAGCTACTGAAAGTATTAAGGAGAATGTGACTAGCAAAGGTGAGGCAGGGACTAAGATATTTTGAAGGATCCTAGGCTAAGTGACTGGGAAGCTGGAAATTATATTTTGAGAAATGGCTTCTGTTAACACACAGAATCAGATCTAGAACAACATGATTAGTTCAATTAAAAACAAGCAGTTGTTCTCAAAGTAACTTTTTGATTAATGTAACCTCTTTTAAAACCTCAAGTTATTAGACACCTTCTAGTTTACAACTAGGTTAAGGAAGTTTGGGGCAAGTGGGCACAGTCTGTAATGGGTATGAAGTGCTCAATTTGCCTCCTTGGATTCTTTGTTTCTGCCTTTGGATGGCAAAGAGTCAATCACTTGAGTCCACATCTTCATATACTTTGTATTCTCTTTACATCTGAAAAAGAGATAAAATATTGACTCCTTTTTAATTTTTTAAAAATATTTTATTTATTTATTAATGAGACAGAGAGAGAGAGGCAGAGACACAAGCAGGCTCCACGCAGGGAGCCCGACGCGGGACTCGACCCCGGGTCTCCAGGATCACGCCCTGGGCTCTAGGCAGGCGCCAAACCGCTGAGCCACCCGGGCCGCACCAAAGTTTTTTACTAGAAGTTTATTTTAGTTACATTTATTTTTAGTTCTACTTTGCTGGGAAGCAGCATATCCCAGTACCTCGTAAAATAGCAAAGGGGATCAACCTAAGAGGTCACCCTTGGGCACAGACACAGAAAACCTCCCTAATCAGCAGTGTGAATCTCATCCCTCTTGCCGGGAGAATTACAGACCAGCGATGCCCCCTCACCATCACTGGCACTCTCAGGGGGAGGCAAAGAGCGGAGTGTCACACTGTCTGGGTTCCAATCCCAGCTCTTTCACTCATGAATCCCTGGGTAAGTCATTCAACGTTTCTGAAGCTGATTCTCCTCTGGAAAATAGAGTTGGCTAGTTAGCATCTTGGGGTTGCTCTGTTGCGAGAACTGCTAGACAGCGGGCCAATAATAGTGATCTCCGGGCCGGGGGCATCGTAGGTATCTTGCTCAACCTCAAGCTATAGGACTTGTCTGGCCCACACCTGAGGACAGACGAGCTGCTCAGCAAGCAGCAGGGCGGCCCGGGTGGCTCCGCGGTTTAGCGCCGCCTTCAGCCTGGGACGTGACCCTGGAGACCCAGGATCGAGTCCCACGCCGGGCTCCCTGCATGGAGCCTGCTTCTCCCTCTGCCTGTGTCTCTGCCTCTCCGCACCGCCCCCCCACCCCCGCGTCTTTAATAAATAAAATCTAAAAAAAAAAAAAAGAAAGCAACAGCAATTCTCTAAGGAATTGTCGGCTCCCGAGGGACCAGTGCCCTTGTTTTAGATGCGCTCTAGAACTAAAGACGTAACCAAACTTCGCAGTCTGCTTCTGGGTAAACTGGAGAACATAACCAAGAGCCTTTAAGAAAAGACGTCTATTTCCACATCTCTGATTTATGTAAAACTATCCGCCCAAAGCAAAACAGACCCTTTCTCTCTCCCGCAGGCTGGCCTGCTTCCCAGCTGTTCCCGTTCCCT